GAAAATTAAGAATTACCATGTGATATTTAATAAATATTATAGCTACAAATTATAACAAATGCGTTATGGTTTATTTCACTGAGGCTGCAATAAGTGAACTATTGAAACGTTTGCCGTATCGAAAATATATTTTTATAGCAACAAAACAAATATTTTATATATATATATATATATATATATATATATTGGTATATGTTTAAATCAGAGGCGTGGTTTCAATGTTTTGTATTATAACCAATGGCCGTACACAAAGGAAGTGGTAATAATTGTTTCCTGCACATATATACCTGTAAGTATATATACACCTGTATATATATATATATATATATATATATATATATATATATATTTAATACAATTGCAGATTTTTCGATATTCCTCGATATTGATTGAGTGCGCGCGCAAGAGTTTACAATGCAAAAAGACCGCCTTCATTTAACACTTTGCAGCCAAAAAAAAAAATCACGTCGAAATTACCTTTTTGTATTCCCCCAGGACCCCCAAAAAGCCCATAGAGAACCCTAATGCACTAATAAAGTTATAATGCGCTTCATACTAGGGAAATTACATGCTCCAATTACAACAATCCATGGGTAACAGATATTTAAATAATTAAAATAAATAGTTTAGTTGATTATTTTAATATGTGTTATCTTGCTTATCTACTATCTTTTAATCTAAGATATTTTCTAAATCGACATCTGTAATGTAAGCCAAAAATTGACCTTTGGAAAACAGCTGAACCAATTTAGATCATTCTCTTTATAATTATCGAAAAAGGGTAAAATTTTGTCGTGACAATTTGTCTCAATTCTCATTGATTTTAGTCGATTGTGTTGAATCAAGGAAAAATACCACTTACAACTAATTTGTTATATACAGGGCCGGTCTTACCTTGAATGCGATTCATGCGAAAAATGCGGGCGCACGCCTTAGGGGGCGCCAAAATGAGATTTGGATATGAAATTTATAATGGTAGAAAAATAATGGCAAATATACATACTATATATATATATGTCATGAGATATAATTTGTTTATCGATTTATACCAAGAATAATTTTATTACAATCGTGTCTGTTTGTATTTGTATGTATGTATATTATAAAAATTGCATTGTCATAGTTCTTTTGAATCGATGATACACTTGTATCCGATGTTGTTGTAAACCTTTCACCATTTCTTTTTTGATATTTCAATTTATTCAACACTTTTTTTTATTTCCTCTGCTTGAATCCATCTACACTGTCAAAAGAAAAATGAATTCTGAAAAAATTATTTTACAATGAGCATGATTAAATTCATGGACCTGTCTTGGGGTAAAGATATAAGATACTTGATGCAAATATTGAGTCAATTTTATCTTATTTTGCAATTATTATTATGAAAGAAGATTAAACTACGTATAAATATTATTATGTTTGTATTATCAATTCTTTTTTGACAGTGTAAAGTGTGGATGGATGATTCGGCATTTTCGAAAACTGTTATTAAAATATGTTTCATAGAAATGAAGACTTACTTAATAAAATCATCGACAGAGCCACATGGATGGACATTTGGCGCCGGATAATATGCCAAGACAACCTCTTGTTAGAAACTTATATATCCGATACAAAACACACACATACATAGAAATACAATAATATACATAAGACAAATAATTTTTTATTAATATTTTTATAGAGATTTTGGACTGAATAATTTTAAGTCCTCAGTGAACTTGTAGAGGATTCACTCTTTCTTAATATTATTTTTTGTATTTCTAGAAAAAACTAAAATTCCAAAACGATTTATCAAATTTGCTACCGTACGAAAGGTGTGAATGAATTTATGATTGATGCACTAATTTCATTTTTTTAACGACCTTGGCAATTAAATAAACGTTTTGGGTTCACTTTTTTTATTTTTTTCATTTTTTGGGTCATTAGGCCCACAAGACAGTTGTTTCGGAACACTATTAATAGTTCTTAAATGAATTAAGAGAATTTAAGGTTGGATAGATTTTGTTACAATTAATCAATGGGTGTCAAAATATATATACGAACATTAAAAGGATTTGACAATTTTTGAAGTAAATCTTCTTTAGGCGCGTGTAAATCCGCATAAATGCAACGGAAGTACGTTACGGCAGATAAGATAAGATAAGAGTCGAGTGCCAATGATTCGTCATTCGCTTTCGATGATATCATTTCTATACGGCGTCGATTGTGATTAGTAGTCGTGTATATGAATAGAGATCTGTCGTTCTATGTGAACCGATATCAACAAGGAAATCGGCATAGATAAATAAACATTTTAAAGTTACCTCGAAGTACAAATCTTGATTTAATAAAAAAAATGCCTGAATCAGAAGAATATTTCACCCCATAAATGATAAAACAAATGCAGCATTTGCACCATGTGGAAACATAAGTTTATTGAAATAATTTCTATATTATTTGTAGTTTCTATAAATCTTTGAAGTTATTGAAATGGAAAATATTTGTTAGGCAAAACAGATATTACAACTGTTCAAAGAATGAGATTATATCGCCAGCGAAAAAGTAAAAACAAATACAAGCAGTCAATGAATGTATGTTAATTTTAATAACATGAAGTTCTTCAAACACAAATATTATATGATGATGAGTGAAATTGTGAAAACAATATTTGTTTAGGCATTGTTTAACATAATCCACTGTTTGAACGAATATTATAGAGTTTATTAATCAGCAATTACTTCATTTCTTTAATGAAGGTTTATTTTTAAATGCTAATTACAATGACAAACCGATCATGTCATATTTGAAGTATAATGTTAAATTATTGTTTTTAAATATTATACATATATTTAATGCTATTATAAATATATAATTTATAATTTATCATTATATAAATGCGTATAATGGTTGACAGATACATCTTGTACCTATTGTACATAAGTTTTACTTCAATCGCGTGTGAACCTTACGCGCACTCTTTTTTTATTTCTCTATTTTCGAACTGACCAAATACTAAACTAGAAAAGAACTTAAATTTGTCGTTGTTTTTTTTTTTAAATAAAATAACAATTTATTTATATAAATAGAAGAGCAAAAATTTTCGTCCTAATAATCCTGAAACGATTTTGAAACTCTATAAAAATGACAAAGAAGTCCTTGCTCTTATTGAACATACTGAAATATTATATGATCTTGAAAAAACTCTGTGTATGTGATATTTTAATTATTTTTTATCATATGGTACGAATGAAGCGAATCAAACATCATCTTTCTTCTGGCCCTGGCCCTCATTTTAATCCGCAATAAGTATGTGTTAATACGTAATATAATGTTTTTGCGGTTTTGCGCCCTTGTTCGCCCGCATTCGATAATGCCGGATGATGCACTTTTGTTTTGTTTATGAAAACATTATTAAGGGAGAACAAATCACTTTTCGCAGACAAGTGAAAGAGGAGAGAGATGTGGGATTAAGGATTAAATCACGATGTTTTACCACATTTTCACATGGGACAAGGGGTGAAATTTAATATTTTGATGGAATTAACGGGCGGAGGCTGCTGTGACGTCAGTCTGTTCAAAAGTCGAAATTATAATGAAAAATATAAAGAAAATCACAATTGGTAACGGAAAATCATTTTATGATATTTAAGTTTATAAAAAAAATAATAATTCAAAATTGCCTGTGGTTTGAACTGGTTTAGAGTAACTTTCTTGTGTTTATTATGAAATTCTGCAGCATTCATAACATCTTTACTCATTTTTTTCCTTACTATATTATTCTATATAATATGAATGTATTGGCAACGTTTTTGCCAAAAATCTTGAATTGAATGTAAAAATTCGCAAATTGCTTATTTAATAATTAAAATAATTAAAATTTGCAAAACAAACACGAAGTGTGTTTTGTCCGTTTTAAAGTTTTTGTTCTAAAAGGATTTTCCGACAAGACACATTTTCTGGCTTGTCGGATTTTCTGTCGAGCCGGATTTTCTGGCGAGTTGGATTTTTTTAAAAAATTTTGTCCTTAATATGAATGTTTTCGAATTTCCTTGTTCCCAAGGTTGAAATGCTTCCAAATGGATGAAATAATAATAAAGATAATATTAAAATCTAAAACTTGCAAAGATTTTTTTTATTAATTTGGAAGCATTTGAGCCCCTGGGAGCATGAAAATTCGAATACATCCATATTAAGGACCACCCTAATACATATATATATATATATATATATATATATATATATATATAATATTCTGGTAAAATTTTGCATTTATATCACGGTGCCATCTAATAGAACAAAACCGAAGTGCACATCTACGATTTCAACCCTTACATTTTAGTACAATCATTTTTAATATTATGAAGTCTGCATTCTTTATAAATTAAAAAATTTTGTTTATTCACTAAATATCAATTACTATTAATTTATTATTTCATATTACTATCAATAATAATCATTTACCTTGAGTATCAGTGAACCCCAAATAAGGGTTCAAATACTATTATCCTTATCTCATAACAACAATCAATTTTCCTTAGAAGATTTCCAATTTTCTTATTTTTTCTCGCATATCAGTTTACTAAATATCAATTTATTTTCAATTTTCTGCAACCCAAGTTCCATGATACGATACGTCGATACGACCCTATTATTCATCCAAATAAGGGTGGAAAGGTCACTTTGTACGAGAACCTTGTTATACCCAAACGACGGTGAAATGAATAAAGGTATTGGAAAAAATTGATATGAGAAAGTTTAAAGATAAGAACTAAGATAGAAAGAAAATACTAAAGATAAAAACTGGATTGCTGCTTTTTGCACTTATTCCGAAACGTCTGAACCTGCCTTTGCGAATTTTTGAAACAATTTATTTGCGATTACTATAACTTACCCTAAGGGTAGTTAATAATAATATTATTTATACCTCTTTAATATTTATTATATATTTGCCTTTAACATCTTATCATCTAAAAACATAGAACTCTTTAATTAACAATCAATAATTATAACAATATCATTTATATCACTTTCATATCCGAGTTCAAAATATCAGCAGGATCTTCTTCTTGTACATCGTCCTGACTGATAAATTTAGCTGATAGTTTAGCTATTTTAGCTGCTGCTTTAAATCTGGCAGCTGCTTTCAACTTTTCCAACTTTTTCTTCCACTGAGGGAAAAAGATACAGTATTTATATTAAGGAAAAAATGGTTATTATTATATTAATGTTATTTTGTCTATTATTTATCACTATTATTAACCTGTTCGTCTCTGCTAGGTAATGATGCCAAGTATTCTGTAACATGGGGTTGATTTGGATCAGCAATGGCCAATACACTAAGACAACCATCAGAAGTGCCAAGGACCACAGCTCGGCCATCCTCGGTGGAAGCTATAGCACTCAATTCAGCCTGGACCCTGTAGGTTGCTATCAGGTTAGTGTCTTCGGTCCTGGGGTAATAATAATATGTAAAGAATATTAATCCAGTTAAGGTAGAAATCATTTTTATGAAACTCTTACCTGAAGACTCTTAAAGTTTTTTTACCACTGTGATAATAAAGAACGTAGTCTTCGGTTTTGTTAAACATACAGATTATCGTGAATACGCCTTCGGCCACTTTTGGAATGTAAGTCTTTACAGTTTGGCCCTTGCGCAACTCTATTAACTCCAAGCCGCCCCTATAACAGAAATATAACTCCTACAATAAATGTAAGAAAAACATAACTTTTATTTTTGATTTTGGATGTTTCAGAGTGGTATCAAACACTAGACATAATTTGCCATTTTATAAATACACCGGTTGATCTTCATTCCATTACCTTGCAGGATAATACAATCCATGTTTTCCATCCTTGGTGCAACTTCCTCCCCATTTCGGGACTGTCCTTAAAATCCTTTTGTTCCTGATGTCAACTATGACTCCTTTATCAGATCCCAAAACTCCTGCCAAATGTGCTTTGTGTGGCATTCCAACTATCCTGGTAATTTCCTAATAAATAAAAAAAATTATAGGTTTAACCATTTTTCCTAGACTTTTTTCCTTTACCTTTATTCCGCAGTTTCTAACACCAATCTTCTGCACAGGTCCTGTACCATCTTTTGCGCTAAAAACAGCCAAACAGTCCTTGTTATTTTTATCGCTCATCACAGCCAATATGTGCTGATTATCCGAAGTCATCTGTAGTGGCCTAAATGGCACACCAGTTACAGAACGACTTTGGAATTGGAACGAATATAAAACTGTGCCATCTAAAATAACAAAGAAACAATTGTAATAATAATTTCTGATTTAGCTTGATATTAGGTTGTCAAATATCTCCCTTCCGCTTTTTTGCTATTGGTTTATAATACAAAAAGGCGGAAGGGAGATATTTGACAACCTTATATGTTGGAGGATTTTTTACCTGGTACGCTTCGCATGACAGCTTGTGCTGGAACTCTGGTAACATCACATCCAGGCGCATTTCCTGGTCTACTGACTGCCAAGGCACAAATGTTCTGACCGCTAGGATCCAGATGTAGAGACACCTGCCTGATGTCAGGTTGACGCGCTTTGTGGGTCACTCTTTCGGTGACCCTGTCCCAAATTATGAAGTTTCCTGATTCGGCGGATACAACATATCTGAGAAAATTGTGATAGTTGAGAAAATAAAGCTTTAGCAAATTTTGTGGTTCCGGGGCTTACTTTCCGTTGGGTGTTATCTCAGCATGAGTAACTATGGCTCCTAGAGGACTGTCCGCCAATTTTGATAGAAGTCTTCCTGTCTTTAGATCCCAAACTCCGATACAAGCACGGGTGACTGTGACAGCAATTCCTGCTTCTTGAGATAAACTGCAAATATAGAGTCTATATTTTATTAATAGTACTTTATTAGCATTTAACTTTCTGAGGAAGAATTTGGTTTTAGCCAAAAAAAATCACGGATTTGTTTAAGTCATTCTGAAACGTTTGACATCAATTTGACAATATGTGTCTATTTACCTTATAGAGTCGATTTGTAGTTCATGTCTGTCTATAACGTGGACTTGTTCAAATATATTATTAATATTCCAAACTTTAACAGTTCTATCAATTGAAGACGTGATGACACTGTTCCAATTACCAATGGTTAGAGATTCCAGTTGCATGATGCGTCCAAAATGGGCATCCAAGGATTTCACCAGGTTTCCATCAGGAAGACTCCAAACGTACAGATTTTTCCTGAAACAAATTAATATAATTGCAGAGTTGTTGAAAAAATGACTGGTTATTTTTATGCTCACCTGACTCCTGCAACTGCATAATCCTTATGAGCACTTAGCATAATGCTGTTGGATTGCAGCATTTTCATAGTGATATTTCTAACACCATGTGGTAATTTGAGCTGAATTGCATTTTCGCTAATTTTTGAATAAGTACTTCCGATGGCCGAATTCTCTTCCACACAAGAACCATCGGATTTTTCAGATCCCAAATCCCAGACTACAAAACCATTATTTGTAGAAGCTACAAGAAAAGTAATAATTATTGGTTCCAGTGGAAATGATTCTGTTTTCACTTCCAATACTGACCTAATAATATGGTATCATTTTTATCAAACTTCAACTGCAGCATCATTTCAGTCACATCGTTGTCAGTTCTTGGTAAATCTTCAACTTTTGTCCAAACTTGTGAGTCTTCACTAAGTTGATAATGACTGACTTGGTAGCAATTGTTCATTGTGCAACAGTAGATGCTTTTTCTATCGGTGGTCATCACCATTGCACTACAAAAATTTGTTAGTAGTAATAAATATATTGTAGCAAATTGTAGTAGGTTTAAACAACCTGTGATAGTACAGTTTTTCGGCGGAGCCATTGGGATTGAAGGATTCTAAATACATTCTGTCATCATCTATATCTCCTGACCAGAAAAATATCCTATATTGCTGCAAAGTATCAAACTCCATCACTGGAATAGGGGAATAGATAAATATTTATCCATGTAAGTTGTTGTTAGCTAGATATATATTATTTTTTATGTGTGTTTGAATCCTGGTAATGGTCAATCCGCCATTTTGTGTAAGTCTCTATTTTTAGCAGCTTCAATTTAAAAATATCAATTAACTAGGCCAGAAAAATATGCTATATTGTTTATTCTAACACTGATATAGGGAAAGTTATAAATATTTATCAATAATAGTTAAAAAATATAATTTTTTGTGTATTTTTTAATCCTGGTAACTGTCAAACCGCCATTTTATGTAATTCTTATAGTCTCTATTTTCGACATTTTAAATTTAAAAATATCAATTAAAGTTGTTAATTATATTAAAATAATGAGAGTTTAAGTGAAATTAGCAGATTCTGAATATTATTTTAGTAAAAAATTAGCGCTTATTTATTTAAGAGTGCTTTTAACGTATTTTTGTAAACATCTGTGAAGTGGGGTGAGTTCATTATCAAGTGTTAAAAGTATTTGATATATTTTGTTTGAGTGTATGAGAATTAATTAAATGGTAGTGTAATTGATCTGTAAGTATTATTTTTATTAACTAATAATATATAAATATGAATTAATTTGAAATGATTTTGGTTTTAGATACATATTTCGCATGTAGTGGGTTGGTACTGCCGTATTGTAGAGACGCATTCGCTCTATTTCGTAACGTGTTCGTCGTCTCTATGTTTGTGAGAAAAGACTGCGAGCAAGACGTCAAAACGATGTTTTAGCAAATATAAACAAAGGACTTCTAAATAAAGCTAATAAGCCTTTATTTAGCACTCTTTATTGCACAATAAAGAACAACAAAAGAAATGAAACCACCAAAACATTATTAAACTATGTTCTCTCCACCGAAAACGTCATATGATTCACAAGACAGAAGCTGGCCTTCTTTTTAACAATTGTGGAGTCGTGCCAAATATTATACATAATTATTATTTATCTAGGATCTAGATTATTTCATTCTTGATGTTTCGTTAAGAAATATCATTATTTTAATGAAATCAACAAGTTTTGGGTCAAATGGGCAATTGTTTGACATGTCTCAAAGTGCCCTCAGTTCAATTAGAACAAACACAAGAAGCTTCGTTGCCTTTTGAACATGGAATACTCGAGAAAAAATCTGAAGGTAAAATTCATATTTTTTATATTAACCGAAATGCAATAGCTACTTAGTAATATACTGAAGTAATAAATAGGTTCACAGTCGTGCCTTATTATTAAATATATAAGAAATATCAATATAAAGCTCTAGTTATTCGACTTTAATAGATTTAGTTTCAGGGTTCAACAACTTTATTTCTCGTATTACAGTAAGGATTTCTGTGCTCACGTAAGGTTTAATTTATACCAAAAAGGCTGTGAGTTTTACAGATTATTATTAACCTATACTTAAAACTTATAACTTTCAATATCATCATTGATTAGACTCCTAGTATGATTCATTTTGGTATCTGAAATTATACTTTGTACAAAAGGTGTT